GAGTCTAGATTAAGATAAATATATTTTCACTGGTCTTTCCGACTTAGAAGTGGGGATTTGATTCCCATAGCGATAGGTGTCTTGTTATTCGTTGAATGAATAGCATCCCTAAGATGGAGGCAGCTGATCCCGACATAGGGGAGGGAGAACTTGATACATAGTTTATCTGGTTATCCTACAAACCAGTACACCTAAAATGCCACCAATCCTGGTAAGTGTGACATTGCATTCCACGTTTTACATACTTTGAACGTACGTTTCATCCACCTCTGTTGTGGTTCGCCGGTCGTTGTAGCGGAGATCAGCCTATTATAATCTGGCGAATGTGAATGAACTTCAAAAATGAAGTGCAACCTGAGCTTTTTTCACGCACAGGTTGAGTGAAAAAATTCAATCCAAATGATAGATGTTAATTTCGTAAATGGATTAGATAGTAAAAAAAATTCGTTGACAGAGTTGCACCAGTAAAGAAGGAAACCGACTTCTAACGTACCGCGTAGCCTAATCCAAATTTGCTCGCTGTATCTATCGGCTCTTCCGCAAGCTTGATATTAGGATCCGAGCCCAATGATGTAAAACTGCAGTCTTACAACAATATACCTTTTCCAGGTGTGAATCGGATATCAAGTTATTTAAATTATTTAAGACTGTTTTCATTATCATGGCGTCGGACACAAGAAGAGCTAGGTCCTCTGCGTAGTCGATATCTGTAATAAACCTCTCTGGGAGCATTTCGATTTCATATGCATTATAGACTGGGATTCAGTCTTCCTATGAGAAAAGGGGAGGGAGAATGGCCTTGGTTGACACCATCGGATGTGATGAGAACGTACCATGGAACTTCACATCAACTGGCATATAGCGCTTTAAAAAGTGCCAAGAATTTATGGGAGCATCGTTGCTCTAATGACACTACCAGTGTCTCATGGTCCACGAAGCCAAAACCGACTTTCAAGCCATGAAAGATCATTATTGGTTGCTGGAATCCGTGTCGCTGTCCCGGAATTTATCGAAAGGTAAAAGTGTGATCGACGCATCCTCTTGCAGGACGGAACAGAACTTTTTTCCACGGATCTGTCCCTCTCTGTGTTCAGCCAACCTTCGAATGGCAAGACCAGAGAGCACCTTCGTTGGCACAGCTGCCAGGTTAATGCTACGGTAGTTTTCACCGTTTGCGTACCCTCTTTGAGGATAGGGATGACCGTCGGTATGCCGCATTCTTCACTCCACGTTGCACCAGAAATTTTTATTGGTTAACTAACCCAGAAATTCTCCACCTCTGAACATGGACCGATTCTAGCCGTCCCAGTCCCGGTGCCTTTTCATGATCTAGGAGGACTACTTCATAAGTAACCTATTCTTTTGGCATGCAGTCAGAGTATCCTATCTTTCCTCGTGCATTGTCTCCAGGGGCTGTTTGGGGAGATCAGCCAAACTGTTCTTCGGTGTGTTTAGTTCATCTTTCCAATCGGCACTTTTTCGGACTAGTTGCTTAACCGCCTTTTCTACTTCTTGTTTCACTGATATTCGCTTTGCTTTGGCCATTCAATCGTATTAAATCATAAGGCACGGTTGTTTCCGGTGGCAAAGGCCTCCTTCCACACCCGTGCTTTCATTATTCCCTAGAACTCCCGGTCGTTCCTTAGACTCATCCCTATTTAGTGTTTGAGGATCAGCCTGCGTCATCGTACTTGTCTGTTGGAATGAATTTTTTAGCGTTTATCAGGACTAGCGATCTCGACGAGATAAAAGATAAACATCTCATCTGCACTTATTCTTTAAAAACTGAACACTCACTCGTCCTTTTGAACTTTCCTGGATATTCGTTGGCTATTACACAATGGTAAACGAACAACACAATGCGGTTCACAATTTCCGCACTAAACTTCACTTTCCATCAGTTCCGGTGGAGCTTGGCCGCTACCCGTAGGCTACTCGCAATGTTCATTATTAGTATCTATCGTTACACACCTTTCCCCCTCAAAGTTCGTGTGCATGCCACCGATGTTCCATTTGCCTCTGTTAGATCGGTCTCAGCAGCTGATCTAGCTGGTGCTTCTCCGGGTGTGTCATGCCGAAGCTGGACACCGTTTGCTTTTTCCAATCCTATACCGCCTAAACGTCCCCCCGGAGGTCGGTAGCAACAAACGGACCTTTCCGACGGTTGCCCAGCTCCCACGACCCCAATCCCCTCTTTCCGCGATCCTAAGGATCTTTCCATTTGATCTTTGGGCGAATGGGGAATGGCTGTGCCATTCTACTTGCCGTTTTCTGTCTATCCCTTTCCTGAACGGTAGTCAAGTTTTCTCGAGCTTCCCTCCTTTCCTCTCCTAGCGTCTCCGGGGACAATCGTGTTGTCAACCACAAACCGATTTCCTGGTCAATTGGAAGGCGTGGATTTAGACCATAAACCCACGTGAATGGGGACTGTCCCGTATTTGACTGGATCAACTTCACCTTCTGCAAGCAACTCTTAAACCCTCTGCCATCAAACCAAGGCTCATGATCTGTTAGGATCATTTTCGGTACCCCATGGTTGGCTATGATGTGGTGCATTACCGCTCCACTGATCGTCGTCGCCTGTTGCTTTGGTACGGCTGTCGCCTCGACCCACCGCGACAGGCGTTTGGTCATTATTACGATACATTGATTTCCACTGACTGTCACCAGAAAGGGGGCCATAACGTGAACGGACCATAACTCACCGATCTCTGATACAGCAATAGGTTCCATGAGGTGAGTTGCCCCTGTTGTATCCCCTTCCGTCAGTTGGCACCGCTTGCAGTCCAGCACATAATCAGTTACCTCACTTCTCACCGCTGGTCAGTAGGTCCTCTCCCGAAGTAAGTCGTACGTCCTGGTTCACCCTGTTTGTGCCATTTCATGGCATTCAGCGATAGGCTTCCGTCTCAAGACGCGAGGTATCACAGGCAGCACAACATCGGGGGAGGTGGTCCACTGGTTACAGTGCGAATTCACTGACCGGAAGGTTCGTGGTTCGAACTTGACCTCTGCCCCTCAACTTCGCCTGTCGAGGCTTGGGCAACCTGACTATCCCAGCATTCGTGCTTCCTTTGGGTGGCATGCCGGCTAACACCGAAAGGGTGTAACAGCTGAATGATTTTTTGCGATCCCTCTCTGCCCCACCGATACCCCTGCTGCTGTACCAATTAGGCACAGCTCCCCCTTCCCGTCTATCTCGATGACGGTTTTAATTGTAGTCTGTGTCACTGCAGTAATCAGAACCCATCCTGGATAAGAGGAGTAATCCAAAGCGTTATTATTTACAGGTGGTCGGGTACGGCGACATTGATTTCTCCAGTGGCCAGGAATGTCACAGTTGTAGCATCGACTCGTTCGAGCACGCCTCCATGATTTTGTCCTCATGGCTGCAGGCTGTTCGGTTAGTTGGTCCACTTTGGTCTGCAGGTCCTACACTGATAAGTAATCCCTCTTCTCCCGCGACTGCAACTTGGCCAGCGGCGCTTCGGTCAATTCCCGTCCCGAATGCACTAGCTCCTCTACACTCAGCTGGCCAGTTGCTTTCGCCAACCGTAACTGGGCACCAAGCGCCGGCTGCGCACCCTCAACCAACTAGTCAGACGGCAACTACTGGCCTTGCCCATCCAGTCCGGGCAAGGCACGATCCTGTCACAGACTAGTCGAGTTGCATCCCGGTCCAATCCTACCCACCTTGAGCATCCTCATAGCTTCCAGACGGTCGGCCGGTGTGCCGTACTCCACTGCAAGAGCTTCCTTCGCGGTAACCCAGCCCATCTTCCGAAGGCCCCTCCTGGCCACATCCAGGGCCGCCTTCGCCCGGCCTCTGAGAAGGGTCTTCAGTGCCGCCAGCTTACCCTGGTCGGTCTCCAGCCCAGCCGCCTCCGCGACATCCTCCGGGAAGGTCGGCACATGCCCATCCCAAAAAGACTGTAGCCACGGGGTTTTCGTTGATATCTTGTTCGTGGCACCAAATGAAAGAAGGAAGCCACTTCGCAGCGAAGTCATTTATTAGAAACCACGAACTAAGCAGTTACAATTCATTAGACGAGAAAAAACATCTCATATGCACGTAGTCTTTAAAAACTGAACATGCTCACCCATCCTTTCGAAATTTCCTGGATACGCGTTGACTGTTAGACAATAGTAAACGAACAATGTAAAGCGGGTTCCACTTCACCGTCCATCAGATGCGGGGTGCAGCTTGGCTACTAAGCATAGGGTATTCGCAGTAGTAGTTGTATCATTATTATTCAACATTACACCAGTTGGTTTACTCCGAAGAGTAGTTAAGCTATCTCAAATCAATACTATACTATACTAAGCTATAATATTCCCCTGAAGGTGGTGCATTCCCATGCTTCTTGCTGAATTGAGAGAGCCTGAGGGAAAACGAATTCCCTAACATATCTGCACTGTGATCTGATCGGAGTTAAGTTGTGTACCCCAGAAGGAGCGTCAATCTTTGATTGTCGCTCTTCATCGGTGGCTTATAATCACGTGATGGGGTCGGGTCCACGGCCGGACACCAAGTTCCACGGTACGAGTGTTTATGTTGAAGGTTTGTGCTGGTCAGAAACAGTTGGCAGTCAGGTCACTTCTGGGGGAATCGCTCTCTGTTGCTTGTGCGATGGGCCATACACTGCGAACTTTAAATTTTTGTTTCCTGTTGCGAAAGTTGTTCGTAATCAGGGAACTGTCACGCAAGTGCCTTTTATCTTCGGACTGTCGAAGATCTTATGTAAAAAAAATTTGGTAGTGTGACATGCACCATCCACTAACTTTGAATACAAATTAAACCTGGACATTCAGGGTTTTCTATCTGAATGCTATATGCTGATCTGTCTCCCTCATGCTTGTTGCAAACGTGAGCCAATGATATGCTTTGAACTCTCAAATCACAGCCATTAAAATATCACTTTTTAAGGCCTTTACTTATTTTTTGTATCCACCGTCTACTCGGAATACAAGAACTAGATACTATGTGTTCTTCTTTCAGGCCTTCCCACAAAGGACTTAATCCATATCTAGAGGCTCTCTTAACCTTCTGCTAGACGGTGTTCGAAATGTTCATCTCAGCTTAAAGAAAGAAACAGAGATAGAAGTACCACGGAACAAATATTGACAGTACTGATTTCCCCGTCTCCATGTCTATCCTACGTCCTGCATGCAGACTGTTCTCCCCAGTCGGTAACTTTGTTTCTGTTTGTCCTTCCCGATTCGCGCGGCCACTCACACATGTCTGCCATCCACCCACCAGTCAATTTCCACCATACACCTCACGCGTGATTCTGTTAAATTTTCATCCCAGTCCGTTTTTCTATCCGGCGAGAAACACTTTTCGACACAATGTTATACCTTGCTGGACGACAAAGCGACCTTTTTCTACCGACCCGAGTGAACAAGAAAAGGAAATAGCTGAAAAGAAAACCAGTTTAATGCAACGATTTAAAGAATCCTATGCCATTTATGGCAAAGTGCTGCTTATCGTGCATGGCATTGGCTCATGTTTTTGGTTTGCTGCTGCCTATCTTGTCGCCAAAACGTGAGTTCACTCCATAGTTTTCCTCCCCTTATTGAACATCTACTGAGTTTTAAAAAGAGATATCCATCCAAAATCCTCGCATTTAGGAGGATAGTTTATTCGATTTGTGCTCTTAAGCACAAATGGGTAGATTTGTTTCGTGTAAATTATTTACTCACTCGATCTAATCCGCCGGATATTTTCCTTCTAACCACGTGGGTTGCGTTTCATAAAAGGGCTTTGAACGAAATCTGTGGATACAATACGACAAGTTCCATTTTGTCGGCAACGGTCACTCCGGAATGAGAAATATCCTCAACAGGGTCGGCACATTCGGATGTGCCGAGCTACAGCTTCCTACAGCACTGGGACATCAGGATGCGATCGCTACTGTTTTGTATTCAGGCCCGTTTCCACCACTCAAATTTCATTTGATTTCTTTTGGACGCGTGGCCAAAAGCAGATCTGTTTAGATATGATTGCTTTCGGGCCGAAAACGTTTTCGTACCACAGTAGTAGAAGCGCCAACTAATTTTTCAAGTGCGAGGCTTGACGTCGCACTTAGCACTCGTGCCACACCTAGCCCCACGTTGATTGTTTTCAGAGGCATGAAGCCTAGCAACTGATTCACACCAAGCAATGAGCCAGTGCTTGGTGGGGAGTGTAGACAAACTGTCAGCCTCGCTACGCCGAATTATGTAGATGCGCATTATCGGAGTCACCACTATTTTCCCGATCGTCGTCATCAGCTGAAAAGCCGTGTGCTTGCCTTACAGTCGTGGCTGTCACTGTGATTTGGGGAGGCGACGTAGATAGCTGTGCATTGGAGGCGATAGCTGATATAAGTGAGGCGTAGATTCAGGGGTAAGTGGACTTTTACTTGGGGAGGTGGGCACCGAAGCAGCAGCTTGGATGCATGAGCCCCATTGAGGATGCGACTGGGTCAGGTCTGACAATGTCTCTAATCATTGGTGTATACTGTCTCGGGATCCCCGTCAAGGGAGATCCCAATGACCTGCGCAGCCGAGTTTGTGGGTAATGGCTTTCATACTTCGCTGCCGAGTCATTGTTCGTTCTCCCCTTTCGCGTTAGTGTGTGGAAAGGGCCATTCGAGGAAATCAGTCGACTGGCATACGGAGCAGGTGACCAAGTCAGCGCAATCTGTTTAGTGTGATCAGTTCGTCTATCGTAGGCGAGTTATTTCTTCCCAAAACCATTCGACTTACTCCAGCATTGCTGATCCGACGTTCCATCCGGACTCGGGCAATGATCAAAAGACGTCGATGCTCAAACGGTGAACATTTTTGAAATGCTCAGCATGCAGCTGCCAGGTTTCTTACTCCATGGCACAAATCAGTTATCTAGACAGGTCTGAACCACAAATCGAAGGTTAGACCGGCACCAGGGTCATAATGGATTTCCGTGATGCTGTTGGCGATCGAGTCAACTGAATTTGTATCTGGAACGGAATTTGGTAGAATTTTAGGTTGCTGCGTCAATGTTTCCACCAAACATAATTGCGCCGCTTCAAACTGGTTTTGTTGTTGCAGCAGAATTTCTTTCAGTGCTTCAGCAGTTATTGTCATGACCCGGTGGGTTCGGGCGTCGCCAATCTGTTATGTCTGCCGATTCGCCATTTTGTTGTATCTGGCTGATGACTCCCCCTTAGTGCCTAATGCCGGAAAAAAGACTCACAGAAGGGAACACAGTAGCTATATTCCGAAAAAGCGAGTGCGAGAGCGAAAGTACAACGGTCTCAAGCTATTTATTGGAGGGACACTGTCTAACTTGGTCCATTGCTGACGTACGCGGTCTGACTTTGGTACGAGGCTGCGACGCGCTGCGTATTGCGGGGTGTTACCTGACCTTGATCAACGCTGACCCGCGTTGTCTGGGTTTGATGCTAGGCTGTGACGCGCTGCATATTGAGGGGGCGTTGTCTGCCTGGTCAGCATCTAGTGGAGCCGAGGGTCTCAGTAGATTTTGGGCCTTCAGTGGTTGCTTTCAGGAATCTGGCTTTCCTGATATTTTCTCCAACCCGGTTCAAAACATACTAGGCAGTCGTCGTGATGTTTTGGTTAGTTCAGTCTATGTGTGAGTGTGGGAGTGATTAAAAGACTACTTTCCTACACTTCTTTTGTTGCTTCTTGAGCTTGTTGTTCAAGGTAATTGTTAGACATGGCATCATAAGAGTTTTGGTTTTACACCCTGGTCTGCCAGTAGTAACTTAGGGGAAAGAAGTCGCATTATAGTGGCTTGCGAAACATTCATTCGAGAGCAGCAAGCAGTTTTCCGGCCTGGTGGCGGAGGCATTGACCAAGTCTTCACACTCCGTCAGGTGCTAGAAGAACGCCATACGTACAAACGACCAACAATTGCAGTATTTCTGGATTTCCAAGGCCCATTTGACTCCGGTGATTGATATGTTCTCCTTAACACGCTGCACCATCGCGGAATGCCCTGGAGGTTTGTGAACACAGTACGTTTTCTGTATTCTCAGACTTCGGACGTCTGAGAGTCTACAGAGAGCTCTTTAAAAACTTCCGTTTATAAAGCGGTGTTCGTCAGGGATGCCCACTCCCTCCATTCCTATTTAATTTCGCGATCAATGAGATGATCAAACGAACGCTGGAAGATTTTTAAAACCCCGGTCTTCGAATAGCCCGCGACCAAAAGTTTGTCGATATCGCTCCCGTCTTCGAAGAGGAGAAACAGGATGAATCGGATGAATTAACCAAAGTAATCTCGTCCTTTGTTATGCAGTTCGCACCCACAGGGTGTAAGATCATGCTTGTGGACATGCAGTCACTGAGAACGCCACTTACAATCCAAGCGGGCACTGGGATTTGTGGAGCGTTTTTCGTACCTTGGAAGTTGTAGTAGTTCTTATTGCAGTGTGACAGATGAGGTGAATGCACGAATCTGCAAGGTCCGGGTCGCGTTTGCGAATTTGAGACACTTGTGGCGTCAAAGCGGTATATCCCTGAATCTCAGGGTGTGTGTGCGTCAGGCTGCAGTGTTGGCAGTTTTTCGTATGGCTGTGAGACTTGGCCTTTTCGAGCAGCAGAACTGAGACGTCTTCATGTTTTCGACGGTCGTTGTCTCAGGACTTCAGTGGTTGTGGGCAGACTACGTTTTTTGTTGTGCAACGGGAACTTCCATTGAACAAGGTGTCTAGCACCATAAACTGCTGGTCATGCCATGTATTGCGCATGCGGAACCATCGTTTGCCGAAGAGAGTGCTTTCTCCGTCCCAAAGTCAGTGCGGTGGAAGCATGGTCAACTCGAGCTGGCAGAGGGGTATGAAGGAGATATTGAAACGTTTGGATGGTTTCGCCTATTTGGATGGGGACCGCGTGAACCCCATTGCGCCTGGATGGAGGCACTGCTAATCGATGCCAATGGCTGTTCGCGCGTAACAAGGATGTCGTTGGAAGCTTCTGCCGCTCAGACTTAATAGTTCGTCTGCTAGTTTTTTTTTTTCGGATTGTATCTGCGGTGACTTTTCTGTAGTAATTTATAACCGAGAAGGATAACGTTTGTAATCCAAGCCGCTAACCTGGGGATTATTTTACTTGCATTTTCCAGTAGGATATTCGAGATAAGTACTTTAGTGCTTGGGAGGCGTCCAAACGGATTTTTTTGGCAGCCCTGGCTTGTCGATCAATAATGCCTCTGACTCCACCAATCCTTGTGATAAACTGATACTTGAGTTAAAATTGGATACACTAACTCATCACGGCTTTTTCTCTTTACCTTATCTTAGTCAACAGCCCCAACGGTCAAATAGTGTAGACTGCTGTTTTCAATTCATTTATTCTGGTTTTCAAACTCCACTTAAACACGCCGTGCATTTACAGACGCTGTCGCACCTACTTTTTAAGGTTTTCAACGTAAAGGCAACGCCACTGATCAGTCACTGCAACCGATGTAATGAAGGATCGAGCTGTGTACAGCTTGACTACTGGTGTCTAGCCAAGTAGTTTATCCTAATTGGTCACTGGCCCACACGGATCGTATGTGCGCCAGGACTCTTGCAATCAGCACACTCCAGTTGTATCAATTGGAATGAGGGTCAACGAGCCTACGCCTCCGGGGCAGGCTTATCAGCTGGTTGTTCGACATTTTGCTTGTCAACACCACAGAGATGACAGTGAATCACCAGTTTTGTCGCCAGCCTCATCAACTCCTAACCAATATGATGGTACCCACATATCTTAACCAACGGTCTATTTCGTTCATTCTTGTCTTGCATTCCTTTTTCTGGTGTATTACTCGGTAAAGATAGAGCTCGTTTAACGCAATGTTCTTTTATGTGTTAAACGAGGAATATGGACCGCTGTGTTTTACGTCAAGCTACCAGCCAAATTCGACCACTGACTCCTGGGATGCAGCCTGTCGTTGCAAAGTTGTTGGCTGACTCCTTTGCTATGTCCTTGAACAGGGGGGTCCCATCTCTCTTATTTCCAAGCAAAATTTGTTTGTGCATCCACTTTGAAATGTTTTGTCATGTTTGACCACTGCAGACTTTTTCCACAGGGTTGAAATGTACACATATATGGTTCTAGCTGCGACATTTCACTGATGAGTTGGGGAATGAGAATGAAAAACAATGAGGGCAATAACAATTATGCTTTAGTTGTAAAATCATAGTAATTTTTAACACATTTTCGGCTAGAATGAGACAGACCGTGACTGTGCATTAGATTCAATAACTGGAGTGTGTAACTTGTCACTCTGTTGTGATCATTCACATCAGAAGAGCAAGAACAAAGGCACGCTTGGGAGTTGTTACTGTAATGGACCAGCTTATATCTGATTCCACAGAGCCACTATTATATTGCTCTAAATGGGGGAATATCTTTGTTCCCTTATATCACTGTCTACAGATTCGATAGTTTAAGTCGACTTTGCATCTGGTATAATTTTTTCCTGACTTTTTTCAGCGGCATAAACTTATTGGAATTATTTGAAGCTGCACATTTCCCAGAATGGATGTGCCGGCCTTTGCGCATGGGTGGTGGATCCGTGAACACCGTGGCGACCGCATTGGTGTTGTACAAAGTGGTTTCACCACTCCGTTATGGTCTTACCCTGGTGATTGCTCGTTACACCGTGCATTATTTACGTGCCAAAGGGAAAGCTCCACAACTGACAGATCAGGATAGGTTACGGAATCTGGCTCGTGAAGGTGCTCGGCTTTCTGGAGAACGAGTCAAATACAGGCTTTCCAAGAGTCGTAAGGCAGCCATTGCCTTTTCAAAAAGTGCCGGGCGAACATTGACCACGAAGGGTCGTCGGTAATGGCCGATATACTATCAGTGTGGATTGCTGCAGTACGCTTCTCTAAACAGCTTTGTGATTCGACGGTTCGTTTTCACCTCTTCACCTGTTTGGTTGCTTTCATGTACATAGTTTTTTGTCGTTTATGGAATAAAACATACACTTTGACGCCTAGTGACAGTGGCTTCCTTGTGTTTTTCTTCCACTTCTATCGGATGATCACGTTGGAGCGTCATCTCAGTCACCCGTGCCTTCAACTTGCACTATAGGGTTAGTTAGGATCAAGCCACAGATCAATCCAGCCTCATCTCCAACTACAGCCGCAATGGTGGCAGTGTGTTAGTGGCGGACGAAGCTCAGCAGCAGTCAACAGCGCAGGCGTTAGCATTATGATGCAGTTATTAACAGGACACCTGGTTCAGCTGTAACACCCTTTTGGTGCCTAGCTGCCATGTTACCTGGAGGAAACACGAGTGTTGGAATACTGCCAGGTTGCCCAAGCTAGACAAGGGAAGTCGAGAGGTCGGATTCGAATCACGGACCTTCCGGTCAGTAAATTCGATCTCTAACCACTTGAGCCATCTCGCATTGAGTCGTGTGGTTTGTCTGACGGAGTATAAACCGATTAGGGTGATGGAGTACGGACAACGAAGGGGTGATGCTGTGACGAGTGATGTTGGATAATTGAATACAAAACATGTCTACCTTTACGTTTGAGACCGTTTCAGATCAGACAGTCCGTCTGTAAACTTTTGATAGCTAGCAGCCCACTTAGATGTAACCGGGCAACGTAATTATCTTGGGAAATGGTTTCGGAAAGTTTTGTAACAATTGGCGGTTTGTTACTAGACTATATCGCTCTGGACACAAAATTTGCGTCTTGTGAGTCTTGAGACACATACCCTGTCGATGAGATCACTCAACTGGTGTTCCGTTGTAGGGGTCACTCACTAGATCGCGCGTCACAAGCACTCAAATCGCGTAACAATTCTTGTTCCACTTGCAACCTTAGCCGACAACGTGTACATCACAACGTCCCATCTATTCTTGTTTACGCGGGTACCACCTGGGTCACGCATCAGGCTTACGAAATTTAACCGCATCAGATCAAGTTGTGTCCATGTTTGTACAATTATCGAACACGAATGTACACCCCTCTCTTCACACTGGACACAACAAATAGGCATGCAATTCGGCCAAATAACACACTCGCGTGCACATGGCGGAAAGTCAACCGACTCCACAAGTTTCCGCGGCCAACTACGGAACACGTGTAGCAGCTAAATTGCACAGAAGACATGTCCCTCGTCTGGAACTTTACTCATGAACTCTAAACGGTTGACCTCAAACAATAAGTCACTTTTCGGCTTATTCCCTTCTTGCATTGTATTGTTTTTATCAAGTGCAAATAAATTTACGTTCATCCATCCTGGTAAAACAGACATTTGTTAATGCTTCTCACCTTCTAACAATCAACCTAGTGTTACAACTGTGTTGACCGAAGTTTTTCTTGGTTAGTGCGTTTAAGTTGAACAATGGATGGGCTGGGGGTATCGCCTCAGCTGGGATTCGAGGCCTTGTTCTCCCTGTTTAGGTGATTCGGTTCGATTCTTTCTAGGTTTTGTTTCCAAGTTAGCAATGTTATGGAAGTTTGCAAGTTTTGGTCGGTGTGGTTCGGTCGCTATTATGAGAATTCGGCACTGGGATAGGGAGAGGGGTCCGACTTTGTACTTTAGATCAGAACCACTTTGTTGCTAACTCTTTTCCCAAGGACAGCTCCACAATTTGGCTGGTCGGGAACCGCTATCCACGCTCCCCAGCTCTGGTTTTTCTGTCCTCTTGTCAAAGGGATGCTTGATTTTCCTCATCGTATCGGCTGTGATTTCAATCTTTGTCTCGGAACGTCCACATTTTCCAAATCTGTTCTGTTTCTGGTGCACTGTTGACGAGTCTAACTGGCGCCTGATATCCAACCGATAGTAGTCGAAAAAAACCGGTGTCTTTTGGTCTGCAACTAGCGAAGGTTTTGAGTTTACCCACTTATATATCATTCTCTCCAGAAAGCGTTATGTGGACTCTAGCCATGTGCTTAACTCATAAATACGCTTGAGTGTTCAACAATATACCTGGGTTTTTGGTAATTCTGGTAATTGCCAAAAGTTCAACCGATGTTCTGGGGTGGAGGCAGTCTCAAAACAACTTGCCCCTTTTTCCTATTCCCAAGCACCCGCAGCCCATTATCGCTTGAATTCAAGTGACGTCAAATCTGCAGAAAATTACTTTCTGTCTTTGTTAGCAGCACCGTGGGACGACTTCTTATGCTAGACAATGAGCGTGCGAGTCCTATGTTGGGCTCTCCCTTAATGAATCTTGAGTAACGCGTAGGTTTGACGATAACTGACGAATAATTGGGTTCGAGAGTCTACGGTACTATTTACACAAAGCTGAGCTAAGTTATGCAAATCTCGATTGTTCACGCTCGTGGCGTTTGCATGTCTGTCTGTGACCGGCACGATGTAGTGTCAAGGCGAGCAGTGCGATTACATGGAAATCATAACAGAACATGTGGCACGCTCAGCAAGCGGAGCACGAACGCGCACAGCTTAGTAAGTCAGGTGGGCTCAAATACACGTTAATATGCCAGTGTCCCACGGGACGGTGAATGTCGGGTACAGATGAGAAAAACAGGTGGAAATCAAGAGGGCGTGGACGGAGTAGGTAAATGCATGGGGGAATTACCATGAGGTAAGTTAGATATAATTTTTCGAGACAGAGAGATGCGGAAGTTTGCTGGCTGTCACAAAATACCTTGCTGCTGTATGAACTGCCATCCAAATCACTGTGCAGCACATGCGCTTCGCGATTAGTTTTGTGCTGCGTATGATATCCACTGGTGATGACCCATTCCTAATGTCTGTCCTTCGGTTTTATCGGCACTGCTACTGCCTGCTCTGTTTGATTTATTCTGGAGCATGTAAGACAGGCACTGCTGCACCTGTATCAAGCGACCGAGCCTAAGGGCTGCCGTTGGATAGGGGAAACTAGAACTGGATGTTTGGAACTAGATGTCCTCATCACAAAGAGAATGAGCACAGGGGGAAATGAGTTGTTTCACAATACGCCTGGCCTGTTTCGCTTGATTACTTCACACGTACACTGCAGAGAAATTTTCAAAAATAAGTGGATCAGAACAAGGATATATTGAACAAGTCAACCACTGAAGAAGTGTCAATAACATAAGTTTTTATATTCTGGAGTGGCGGATTCAGCGAACTGCAGTAGGTTGTCGATCGATGGCCGACACAGGATTTGAAACATACCTGCCAATTCGAAATGATGCCCAGTTCCAAGCAAACGATGGAATGCTGGTTCGACCGCACTTGACTCAATTCGAAATTTTAGAGGATCATGCGTTTCGACTTATACACTGCTGCATCCAAATCAAGATGTATTCTGCCGGCCTAAGTGAGATTCGCCTGGACAAGTAGTTAGGTACTCGTACCTGAAACGGTAAGGGAGACTTGGTGTTGTCCACTGAATGTCGGAATTTTTCTGCAGGTATAGGCAACTACAAGTATGGCCTCGTGATTGGTGTGGTTAATGGCTGCGTTGAACGCCGTCTCATTAACATGTTAATCCCACATCATCCCCATGGATCAAAGTGGCCCAAGCACGACGTGCCTGTAAGGATTCTGCCGGGGATCCAGTCGAGCAAAGTATCTCCACAGATGTTCACTTTCTGTATCTTTTGTGCAAATCCCTCTTACTCTATCCTACAACTTTTTAACCTACTTCTGGAAGAGCTCCATTGTTTCTCGCATTGATTCTGATATCCCCTGATGACATCTTAACTCCCTACAGATGTTTTCCACAGAACTTCATGATCCCGAAGAAAAGTACAGGAAAGGAATATTAGGAAAAGGGCTTCGCCTCAAAATATGGTCTAGGTTTCGTAGGCTAGCTTGTAGAGCAGAACTGCATGGGGCTGTTCCAATTAAATGGAAATGATTGCCACTGAACTAGATGCAGCGTTAGGGCAAGAATCGGTTTGAATAGATTGCAGAGTTTCCGCCAACTAACTCCCGGACTGAATGTAACCTCGTGTCGAAAATGGTTGACCAGCTAAAGCGTTTTCTGAGGCAGGATGTTCTTGGGTCTGCAGAGGAGTAGTAAGGCCAGTTGGGCCTTTCGGTAGAGAAATGCGCTGGCTATTGCGTTTCTCCACTGTGGTTTTTCCATGCCACTTACGAATTCGGCTACTCCGCCAACAAAATTTCGGATGGTTTCTTTTTGTACGATAAACCCTGGCAATATTATGGTTGTTTCATTTGGATTAAACAGTCATTTTGTATCTAAGCACTTCGTTAATAAACTTACGTACAATTTTGAACTGAGGAATTATGGATTGATTCCAAACCTTACGAACCGAGGTTTGTGTGATGTTCTGTTTTTCCGACACAGCTTTGTTGCTGGCTGTACATTTTTTAGCGAAATCAAATCTAAATCGTACAGCCAATTTATTTATAATTTGATAATTTTCCATGTCGATCGAATACTAATAACGTGGTGTATTGTAATACCTGCGGTACTGTCTCCTACACTATTCGTCTGTCTGTGATTTGCAAAGGTCAAATGCCAGTAGGGAGCATTTTTTTATTGTAGATTACCGGTACCAACAACCATGACTATGATCAGCACATTCATTCTGGTATGCTTTATTCCACGTAATGCTGATACCAGCAATTCCTAGGCGAATACGCACTACCAAATGCCAATCAGTGAATGGTACACTGATGTCGTTCCGACTGTGCTCTATTTTTCAATAGCTCTGATTGGACTTAGGTTTGTCCTCGTAGACAATTTAAACTATCGCCTACAACGCGCATCACGCTGAACGAGAATGTTGGCGCATGAACTCTTGGTTTTCTTCTTTGCCTGGTTGTTGGGCTTCATCTCAGCCACAGAGGAAGAAGCGGGTGAGTTATAAATATGGTTGATCGTCTGACCAGTGTGATACGCGAAACAATAAGTGGTTTGCTGTCACGAAGAACGGAATGCTTTATTGGACTTTGTGATGCAGGTTGGCGTCAAGCGAACACTCCTAGTCCAAAGTGAATAGTTAGGGTAACAACAAATCTATTGCTCACGGGTTATATTTTTCTTTGGTCATGCGCTTGGCGTACGTTTTATTTTGTTTTCCACATAAATCCAAGTCTGTCTGCAATACATTTTTGTATATGGATGAGTGTGCTTGTTCGTGAAAGAGAGCTTATTTTCCATGATAAATTCACGAAAATCGAGTTGAGTTTGATGGCAAAATTAAACTACGACACTAAGAAATTGTATTTGATTCTTGCTAACCATTTTCAAAGGGTAGTCGTATAAGATAGTACAGTGACATTATACCATAATAATACCACGATGCGACAACACGTGCACAGAAGGTTTTCGTACAAGCATATCCATAGCTCTCCTTGGCGATCCTCTGAATGTAGCATTTGTTTTTATATGCCTACAAACGATTGTCACTCCCTTTTAATGAACATAAACGACTAAACTGAGACGAGAAAACGTCCGTATCCCACTGTTTTTCATCAACCCGTGATGTACGTCTGGGTTGTATGAAAATAGCGACAATTAAATAAGTGGTGCGCCAGTGTGTGACAACGCCTTCCCTGAGAGAACAACGTTGCACATAAATTATCCTCTGAAGTTGACAACGCCGGAGATTTCACTATGGTGATTATTAAAAAGATAATACGAACCAACTCTCGTCGTTCGCCCATATCCGAACTCCGCCGCTAGATGGCGAAATGCACTAATTTGCAAATCAGTTTGTTTTCTTTTCGCGGGAGACTCACCTGGAACCCAGCTGGATCTCTCGTTTCTGATGTTTTGGGTCCGAGTAGAACTCGGGAATCCCGCCCACGTGATGAGCCCCAAGAAGGGCGACAACGGACGTGAGCTGTCGAAGAGTTTTCAGCAGTCTTAGTACATTGCGTGCACCCTAGACAGTTTCGCACATGCCATCTCGCAAGTACGCCCCAGCGTACTACGTTGGTGTTTCAACCGGGTAGTCGCCATGAGTAAGTATCGCTCAGTATTTGTGCTTCATATCGTGTACGCTTTACTCTTCTTACTGAGGTTGCGGGCAGTGAAGCGTGAACTAACAACTCTTCGGTGGTAGTAGAGGATGGTGTGTAGTGCCATTCCGTTGCTCTGGCTGTAGCCAGCGAACAATGGTCGAGAACAACGTTATCTGAACTTTGGAACCTCCTGAGTGCTACTGATGTTGATTTTCAGACATTCATGAGTCAGGCTGGATTCGATGGAAAACAGGACTCCCATTTTGGAACAGACCCTTAAGGTACCTCATAGGACCGCTGTTCGGGGGCTGCATCGATAGTCGCAGTAATACCTCAGTCTGGATGGTCTCGCACACAGAAATAAGTGATTGTGGGAAATCTCACCAGAAGCTGTATGAATATATGTTGGGTCGAGTTATACACTTTCTGAGTGAGTCTTGGCGGAAGGTCGACTTGTAGCTCCAGCGTTTTTCAAAATTATGTTTCGTTACGTGGGTGACTGGGTCGTCACTACAGTGGCTGCCAAGTCAGAAGTGAGCCAAGCTTTCCCATTTCTTAACCGGAGTAGAATGAACAATCAATAATAATATTACGGCTTGTGAGCAAATGAAACGTTGATGCAATTATCTGCAGAGTTTCATTATCTCGACTTTAAACCCTAATTAGTAAATACTCGTGTAATTGTGCCACTAATTGTATGGTTTGAGGCAGCCTCCCTCAAACTACTAAGCGTACTTGGCTCCATGCGTCAGGTTATCAGATGCACTTCATCTGGTCAACTTACTTCCTAAATTATGCAATGGTCAGTAACGCTTATTTAATCTTATTCCGTCGGTAACAGATGGCAAGCCACTCCAGTGTCATACAGAGCTCTCAACCGACCAAACAGTTTCTTAGACAAATATCAATTAGGTACAATAAACTGCTACATACGATATGAGTAAAATATAACTTTCATCAGTTTGCAAGGGAGCGAGATGGCTCAACTGGTTAGAGCGCGAACTTACTGACCGGATGGTCCGTGATTCGAACCCGATCTCTACCTTTCGACTTCCCTTTCCTAGGCTTGGGCAACTTGGCAGTTTCTCAGCCCTCGTGCTTCCTTCGGATGGCATGGCAGTTAGGCACTGAAAGGATGTTACAGCTGCGCGATCTCTCAGTTTGCAACAGGTGCAATCTCGGATACGTTCAGATGAGCGTCCTCGCCTCCTTATTCCATTTTGAGCTGTTAAACAGGTGCTCTAAATTAAGAACAGTGCACAACTTGAATGATTGCTTCAAGACTTTCCCACAAAGCAGAATGACTGAGGTCAGATTCACGCTCCTCGTGGTTTGCTTGACCCGCCTTAACCGAACGTGAGAAACCGATACAAGTGACTGGGGACACTTAGCGGTGAAAAATAAGTCTTACATTTAGACCAGCTTCCGGAAATAATCAAACTCTGTTCCGTGTGCGGGCTAATACAAAATTCCGTGTTGTTTTACCGAAAGGCGTGAGAAAAAGCATACACCTAACTGTTCCAACTGATTACTCTACAAGACAAACTTTTCTGCGGATAGATGTGTTTATAAGGATGACGATGCACTACTACTAACGGGTTACGTGATCAAATGACTATAAGTTGTTAGATGTTAGACTTAGCAACTGTACTGCTTTCAGGTGTGAAAGATTTTCGTCACTTTCGGCGTTTACATTCTGTATGAACGTAATTTTTTCATCAATAATCGGAACAAAATGAATGGGCAGTTTTAAGGAGCTTTAATTCCAGTTGAGCGCTGGCACTAAAGTGAGCTTTGGAGGTCAGCGGAGATGATGAAATAGGAAGAGTCATGCTCCCTACTGACACTTTTTCTCCATATTCCATAAAATAAACTGTATCGTGGGTGTTCATGGGACGTTGATTTTTTACTTCGTATTTGCGAAGGCATCTGGGTAATTCTTGCAGCGCTGATATGACATTGGCCATCAAGAAAGCCTAATTAGACTACATCTTACTGGACCTCTTAGATACGATTCATCGCGGAAGGAAAAGTATAGCTATATGATTCAATGAAGTACCGTAATGAGAGGCTAGAATACAACTGCCAATGCTGTCATTTCAATCAGTTATCTCTGGAGAATTCAGTTTCAGCATAATAATGAATATACTGAGAAAAACAAAGAAATTTACAGAGTACTATTTTTGCTCGCACCAATATTCCATTTGTTGATAGTTCACCGACTAACGAGGATGACAAGTAATATTCTTACAGATGCTTCTTATTTGCTTGAGTTATGGAAGGGAACCGGTCCTCAAGAGGCTTATGCCCATTTTTCCATAATTGTTTTATTATGTCTGAAGTGGTTGATCGTATTCACGAGTTCGGTATCTTTCTTCACGAAAGAAAATATTGAGGTGAAGCCCGGACGAAATAGGACGAATGAAAGTCAAATACAGAAGAGGAATAGTTGAAGGTCTACAGTTTGAAGCATGATTTACCTGGTGTCCCAATTCATGCATCTTTGAAGAGTGAATTTTTCTGGAAGGACTGAAGCCATTTCAGAACGGTCCAAGAAAGTAAAAGCCATCAGGACTGTATCCTCTCGTGCGCGTACCATTTGAAAAAATCAGCGATCGTCCACATACCATACAATGAGCAAAATTTTCCACTAGCTTCCAGGAGTTCGGAAATGCGTTTTACGTCCAAAACAATCATATCTCGTTATAATTAAGCGCGAGTCACCCGTATCTACACCCAGCAGGACATTTTGCCATCTGGTATTTAATTCCCTCTATTTCCAGTCAAATTTCGGACGACATTGTTGATCAGAGAACCAAGTGAGGCTACCATTATCGCCTAGCTTAATCCGCATGATTTGGCGACCTACAGAATCGCACTCGGTCGGAAATTGCACAGTCAGATTGTCTGTTGGATTAAGTGAGCGAGCATTCAGCTCACAAGTTCATTGATTGTGGCGCAATAAACAAGTGATCAAAAAGACAAACATGGATGTCGAAATATTTGTGAAACAAGGTATACGATGGTTTGTGTGGCATCATATTCACCCAATTCAGTTCACAGATATGCTCTACATCTCGGTTTTGGGACTCATTTCGTACGATTCTTTGAATCAGCCAAGAATATTGCTTCAATGCTCACTTAGTCAATTAATCAGTCAAGTCCATCGTTCAGCTGTGTTAACATATTGGTGACAGCATGACATCAGTGTTCAACACCGATGCTTCACTGTCGTACAACCATGGTTTGTGAATGTCATGGTTGTATGAGGGCTGGGATACTGTCAGGGCGCCCAAACCCAGACAGGAAGACGATTACGGTCCTCAACTCAAGCCTTTGGCTCAAAAGCCTAATCGCAAGGCGGCGGGGCTAGGCGGGAAATGCAAATGCACTGCCATTTTTACGGAACGAGTCGCCACATGTTCCAACGCTAAGCTTGGAGGGACAGGAGACTGTTCGTCAGACCTCTAACCATTGACCAACCTGGTATGAGGGACCCTGTGAGTGTCACGGGGACACCCCACAGTATAGCTCACTGGATCACTGAGGTGCACAAACCGTCACATCACGGTAAGGTCCAGTCTCTTCGTGACAGTGACATATTGGTGAATATCTGCCTTGACACGAACTGAGATACTGGTCAATGTCAGACGTAAATGATCGAAACGTCTTGGCAGGATTAAAACCACGAGTCTCATTATCAGTTGCCACCGCCTTATCGAGAGGCTAATTCGAAAATCGTGGCTTAGAATGTTATATTTGATTTCAGGGCGTGTTTATCAGCTGTTTTCCATGGTGGGGCTCCCTGGTTAATTGACTGTGGCAGGGTGTAGTATCCACGGGTTTAGAGTGCATCTTGTTCGATGTGAGAAGACTTCAGGCAGCTTCCAAGCGACCTGTCAAGTGGGGTAACTAGCTAGATGTTGGTTGAAACACTCAAAGGAATATGTAAACCTCATTCGTCTGCGCCCAGTGTATAAGCCGACTTTGTGCATATTGTGCTGAATGGTGATCAGCCTGTTAGAGAATACGCAGCTTCCACTTGTAAGCCTTATTCCGGGTCTGGAAATTACACTTCAAGTGTCTCACCGATAATTCAGAGGACCTCTTTATCGCAGTGTTATGTGAAAGACAAGGGTTCGAGGCTGTTCCGGTAATGCACGACACTGGACAAACCATCCACTCCATCAGGCCATTTAATCACCTACAGTTCTGTTACATTATCAACAAGGCTATTCCGAATAGTTTCCGTTTCAATAGAATTCTCGGGTTTCAAGGAACTAGTACTGTTACGCTATTAAGACTCAAGCATTACGCTTATTAAGAAAGTATTATCCAAGTCCTGTTCAAACTACACTATCTTTTTCCCTTGCTGTTAAATTCCAGTCCTTGTTCCGGATTTCGAGATCGTTCCCGTTGAGTCGGGTCTGTTAGTGAAATGGTTCATAGACGATTATGAAACACAGTCTGTAATGTATTATCAAATTGAAATTCAAGATGGCCAATGGACCCGTACAATTCAGGCAACCGAGAACGTCTCGTCCGTCCTGATAGACAATTTGCAACCGTGCCGTTTCTACACAGTTTCGGTGACAACTGTGATCGTTTGGGATTTCCAGATGAAAATTGCCTGGAAATGTGGAACTCCACTACCAAAAAGTTAGTACTTATTTAGTTACAAAGTAGTCGTACTTCACTCTTAGCCGAATCATTCCATTATACCCAGAGATTAGAACCATTAGAAGGTCACGTTCGCTGTCGTCTGAGAAAATCTAAGCTGTGGGTAGCTAGCCCAGGGAAATACCCCCAGGTGTAGCCTAGTTATTTACTGAATTTTCTCCAATGAATAGTATCACAAAAAGCGTACTGGAAAGACGATTTTAACTCGGCAGTGACGATAGGATTCAGTTATTGTTGTCCATTAGAGTGAACCTGACCCCGTCGCTAGTTTCCTGTGACAGCTGAAAGGAGAATGAGCCATATAGTCTTTTGTGGTTTGAATTTATTAACTCCTTCTAAAAGAGAGATTTTCTCACTGTGGCAACTTATTTATGATGTGTTGAAGTGCGCATACTGTATTGTTAATGGTCGAGTGGGTTCTTATTATAAGACGAGAATGTTTACCAACTGTAGGATGGCTTATTTTTAAACCGAATAGCTTACAAGTTTCCTCAATATTTCAGAAAGTAGCTCTTACGGAGCTTCCGAAGCAAATGTAGGCGGCTGAGCCCAAGCGATTCACTGCAGGGCGCAGAAACCTCTAAATGGGAGTTCATCCGTGATGATTCAACTTGCCTTTCACAGTTGGTATGTTACATAGCTGGAGGTCATATAGGATGGACAACAGACAAGGTAGACTTTTAATCACTGTGCTTAGTTTTAGGCCCGTTTGAAGAAGCAATGCGGGTACATTAATGCAAGCTTGATTAGAGTGCGCTGAATCTATTCTCGGATTAGTTTGTCGTGGCGAACAAAGACGAAGAGCATCCTCAGGAGATGCCAATACGACTTTGGCTGGCTTGCATGTGCGACTATTTGACCGCTCATTATAAGATTTAGACTGGTTGAAGTATATAGAAGATGGTAGCTCTAAATTCATTGTCGTGTACAAATGATGGGCCACAAACGTCCCTCAGGAAAAAAGTAAAGTCCTGGAACCCTAGAATCTGGTGATATCTTACTAATTTGGTGCTTTTTTGCCCTTTTTCTGGAAATCCTTGTTTTCATTCATTACAGTTCCGAGTAAAGTTCGTGACCTGCTAGTGACCAGTTTGTCCTCCGGCACTGATCAAATTGTTTCCTGGCGACGACCTGCTGAAGTACCTCCGGAGTGTCATCTACACTATGGTCTCATCATTCGGCGTGCAGGTGGATATGAACGTCATCTGATGTTCGATACCCATGGCCATCATTTGATAAGAAACCTGGAGCCCCAAACCATCTATTACTTCAAGATCCAAGCGATCTATGGAGAACTGCGTGGTGAAATATCAGATATGGTTGAGCAGTCAACAACAGCAGGTAGTTTTTAAAATCACTTCACCGGTGCTGGTGAAATCGGCTCATAGTTACAACCGCTTTCAGCTATGGTTTTGTTTTAGGTGCATTTCAGCTGGACGAAGTCATAGGATTTCTAAAAATTATCTTTAATCAGCTCGTTCCAGAAGTTTAGAACTTTGGCCACATGCCGCTTGTGATGTTTACTCGAAAGGAACCTCAGCTCTCACCCACAATGTACGCTTTACTCATGTCAAGTACTCCAAGTACTTTGTTGTCTTTTCAGTGAGACAAGCAACGCGGCAACATATCTGGCATAGAGAAACTTTGTCTTGATCTATCATACCTTAATCTGACAAAAAATGGAGGGGTGTAAGAGTGCTGTATTGATGAGTACACATAAATCGAGCTAGCAATCACTGCAATGGATGTGGGCGTATGGAATGTTTAGAGCAAACATACATGCCACGAATTTCCGGCGGTATGTTTGCCGTCTAATATAATTATGGAATGCTCGCTTCAGAAAGTTAAGGACGGTCGCACTTTTCAAGTTCGCCTGAGTTGGAATATTTGCATTAGACCACGGAGATGGGTTTATTTTTCAATTTCAGAGAATATCGTCAATTTGATTAGTCCTAAAGATAGCAAAGTCCGCCAAAATACTGATCCTGAACACAATATAGACTGTATTCTCAAAGCTGCAATCTCGAATTCCCGCCATACAGGCAATTCAATAACAGTAATGAGGCAAGTAAAACAACAGGATTACACGACGAAGCTACTCAGAACTTGTGGGAAGCAGCACCTGAAGGCTATTGTTTTGGAGCACAACTACTTGGTTATCTGGAAGATCTGACACCATTTATGGGAAAAAGCATTGGGAGAAATACCTATGTTCCGTAAAGTTATGTTCCTCTCATCAAGACGACATATGCACTCCTCGTTTCCAATGGTGATGGTGATTGATGGTGAAACATATTGCTCAATCGAACAGGTGACACCGGCAACTATGATTACCAACAACCCCTCTAAACTGGACGGTAGTGCATTACTAATGAGGTGCGATAGCTCAGTGGTTAGAGCGCGAGTTTACTGACCGGATGGTCTGTGGTTCGAATCCAACCGTATATCGACTCACCTTGTTTAGGCACTACCCACCTCTCGTGCTTCCTTGGGGTAGTATGGCAGCTAGGTATCAAAAGGCAACTGACTTTTATTTTTATTTTTACCGAGGATAAACCATAGTTCATTGATGAAAAGGTTTTCCTTCCGCGGTCCAGGCACAATGATCATTTGATACTTTATAGTGTTCTGTTTACTCTTAGGCGATTCTTGTTCTAAGTTTCCATTTTTCATCTTCACCGTAATGTTTCACCACCTCGTGGGCGTTTATTCATACAGGTGAAGCTCCAGTTTCGCCATACGACCTGAGATTCATTCCACTCGAGCTCAGTGGGAATCTAACTTGGAGACTACCGGTAAAAGGGATGGAACGGATAGAAAAATATCATCTAGTTTTTGAAGGAGCAGCCTACGAAATTATGAACGAAGGCCAGACCAACTTTCTCGTGGAAGACCTCACCGAATGCAGTTGGTATTGTATGCAGCTGACAGCTGTTGCTTCAAATCACATGGAATCGAAAAAGGCATTGGTCTGCGGAACCCCTCTAACAACCCGTAAGTTAATTCGTACTCATAGTTACTTTGTATGTTCACATAATCATTTCTGATGTATAGTAGGTACATCAGACAAAAATTCACTCATGAAACATGCTGCAATAATTGCCTAAGCATGAAGTTTTCTATAACGACGAGAGTATTTATCGAAACCCAGCCAGAATGTGAATGCATTTTTTAGCTTGTACTTATGAATAAGATGTGCTGTGAGGCACACCTTCCAGCCTCAAGTTATTGCTTATCTTGACGCTCGATCTGGAAGAGGGTCAGAATAGCACTGTGCCACAAAAATCTACTTTCTAACTATTGCTTATCTGTGCACCAATTTTGATCTCAGCTACAATTACCAAGTGGACGGACAAGTCACTTCTTGAACTCCTATAGTTTCAAAACAAGAGCTATATTTCTCCTGGATATTCTCCTTTGTCTTGATGTTTTCTATGGCTTGAACTTCGCGCCACATCTGATATTGGCTTTCGGCTTACACGTACATTAGCTTTTGAACGCTCTCCCTACTTTTCTGTGATGCACGGTCGTAAACTTTTCAGTGGTTGAGTTGAGTAGCGCCAGCTTCACACGACGTAGACTGAATTTAGCCACAAACCGATGATCGCCAGTGTTTTCTGCCTTTTTTGGATCCGTTTTGCACCATTTGGCAAACACAAGGGGGTGAGGACACCAGGTACTACTTAACCATTCGAAACCTTTTTCCTACTAGAGTCTTAACTTGCAATTCTAAAGTGTTTTATTTTCGATTCCTGTAGGGAAGCCGCCTTGCGGAAAATTGATTCATTGCTTGTTGTCTTCAACTTTTTCCCGGGTTGGGTTTTTCTTTCTTCTGTTCCCTTTGTAGCTAAATTGATAATTACGAAAACCTGGCTTATCTGTGAGGTTTTTTTGGCTGGAGGTGTCTTATAAGTGTAAATAGATCTTTCGCTTTATATTGTAAAGTTGTTGGATTTGAGTGTGACCTAAAGTTTATCCTGAACGGTTACTAGCTAATCTTTCTTGTCAACCATCTGAAGTCTCAGAATTAGCTTGGTTTCGGTTACTCACTAAGTTACCCTTTGTACGCCTAAATGTACTCTCGCAAAACGTTGTTATTGAGCACCTGTTCTGGACCACCATTCCTGTGCTGCATTCGAGATGCCGACAGGTTGATTGTATGCAATGTTAGGACCCTTGGAAAGAATTATTTGCGAATACTACTGAGCGATTCTTATCAGTGAAATAATCACGAAGCAAATCCACAAGATATTGGCGTTGTCGTCGAAATTCCTATAATGAATTGGACTTTCCTAGCACATGATCTACAATGAAATAACGTTAGAGAGCGACATAATCAGATTCATGGTCCCGCGACCTCAACTAGTGTACACAATTGGCAACTTATCGCAACGTTTTCGGGTCTGCACAAATATGGTTTTAGTATACTGTTATTTCCAGTACTACTGCACCCTCAAGGACCACCTATTTTATTCCGTGCTACCGAGTATCACATATCCAGAGTTTTGTGGACTTCACTGAATCAGTAGTTCCTCTCAACCTCTTTACCTGACTGCCAAAAAACTGAATGTAGCATTTTGAACATATTTACAGGACAATATAACAGCGCCCGGGAATCTGAGGTCGGTCCCTCCGATTGGATATTTATTGACATAATTCATCACAGTAGGCTCCACCTGAGCTGTCCCCAGGTTTCGATAGGAAGGCGTCCTTGTTTTTTGTTGTGCGTCAGCCGCCCGATATTCAAAGACAGTCCATTACTGGCTGCCTCGTTTTTGAATTTCATCAGGAAGAAGTATACCCTGAATAGTAGGCAAGCCGTACTTAAATTTAAAAACGGTTTGCTATCAAGCAGCTTGATAGCTGATTTGCTTGATAAAATTTACGGAGCTAGAGATACGAAGAATTCACACATGCTAATGAAACAAAAATCGTCTCAAGGAATGGGGTACAGACAGGTTTCCATATTCCGCAGTTGTGACCTGAAAATGGACCAAAATGATCTTGAGGTTGCATATTCGTTACCTCTCGAATTCTGATGACTATGAATATCCGGTGAATGTAAAACAGAGGAATCGTTTCAGAGAGGCTTGGTAAACAGTCGGTGGGTTTGTTGCTGGGCGGCGTTTCGCTTCTGACACAAAAGCTTCGTCAGGCCAAGTGAGTTCAGTCTGATAGTCCTGTTTGTTGGTTGGTGGGGCCTTCGTTCACCTGTGTTCGTCACAGTGTGCCGGGACAATTGGTTTGGGGATGGGGTGGGGGTGGTCAATTGGATCTAGCTCCACTTGGATTCTGTACTTTTAGACCTAGACCGTTTCGCTGATAACTGCACACCACAGTGACTGGTGGCCGAGTCGGTGGAAATCGCCAAGTCTCCCAGCTTAAGTAGAATAGAGGGGTTAGAACTTGCAAACGTGTGGAGAGAGGTCTTAGATCAGCCGAGATGACATGAGGCAATGTGCAGTTATCAGCGAAATGGTCTGGGTCTAAAAGTACAGAATCCAGTTAGAGTTAGATCTAAGTGACCACCCCCACCCCCACCACATCCCCAAGCCCATTGTCTCGGCAACCTTTGACGAACACAGTTGAACGAAATCCGTGAACGACCCGAAGAGGAATTTTCCATTAAGGTGTCCTACACCGAAAAAAAAACAATCATGAAAAATCCGGGTTCATCATGAAGGCAAATCCCCCCCCCCCGAACCAATCCATCGTAAATGTTAGTCATCCCCACTAACCGACAAACATGAACATCAGACTGAACACTCAGGACTGGTCAAGTCGACTAGTCACAAGAAATCTCACACATTGGTTTCCTGACTGCCTTAAAACCCAATCGACCTACTTACTTACTCACTTGGCCTGACGAAGCTATTGTGTCAAAAGCGAAAAGTTGCCCAGCAATAAATCCACTGATTGTTTACCAATCGGTCCCACCATTTTCCAATTGATTTAAAGCAGAGAAACGTCTGACTGTAGATTGTGAGCGATCATCCATTACAATTTATATCAAGATCGCCAAATGTGCTGGTTCCAGATCATCATGCTTCTCGCTTTCAAATTAAATCTCCCACAAATTCCTCTCAAGTGGATGGCACATTTGGTCGGTTCGATGATACAATATCTTGTCCCTAAGTGTACGGAGAATATGCAGCAGACCACTTATTTGGATATTTTGTAGGTTCTGTATCTACAAGCAAAATAGACTGACGGCAACTGGACTGTTCTTATGTTACCATGCTGTTTGTACAGATAGTTTACCCAAAGACCAGAAAACAATACATAAGCCATGCTCTAGTTCTCTCTAATCCCATCTTCAAGTTCTTATAATTACCAAAGTTCAGAAAGAAATAAGCTTTTCTACGTACTAAACTATCGTTTGGTTTTTGCCCTTAGGTGTGTGTCCTTATCAACGGAAGTCCAAAGGAATGGTCGTCGACTAATTCTTGGTGGGATATTCTGGGCGCCAGCGATTGCACCGGTTTGTTTGGTGCAACTCAAAATGTAGAAGTGTTTCAGTTTCAGTGTTGGATAAATCCTATTGCTCCAGTGTTTGCCCAATCTTGTTTCTATGCATATAGGGAATCACGGGTCCCAGCAGTAGTGCAAACATAAAACATATAAGGCATAGTCTAGCACCCAAGTGGAGCCGAATTAAGTTCGGATAAACAGCCCAATTTTAAAGGCTTTAATGACTTCGTTCAATTATCTTTACTTCATTATCACCTAGTGCCCCTGCACGTGGATAGTTGAAAGAACAATATTTCCATTTATTACTCGCCTACCAACTGTTCTCTGATCTAAGCTGTCCGAGTTTGGTTCACCAACAATAGGGAGAGTGTAGACGAAGGGGAATGGAAGTCAAGCGTCTTGAAAGAGGCTGAGATGTATGGCCTATTTCGGCTTCGATTGTCTGACACGACGTTTTTGCATGTTATGTACTTGCAGAAGCCACGAAATCTATGGGCTGCGTTCCAAAGGTTTACACTCCGCTCTGGACAGACGAAGTGAAGTAACAGGCATTATAGTTGACTGATGATAAACTCTGTATTAGCCAGTATGTTTTGAGAAGTGATCCCGTCTCTTGTCAGTGCTCGGGAATTGACGCAACTGAAAGTGAAAGTTAATTCGTCCTTCATTTTGACCGGTAGGTCCACAAGTCCTCACTGTCAGCTTCATCTTACCCGGTCATATGTGATGCTGGACTCTTCAGGCGTAAAACGCGTGCCAAACTATGCAGCAGAACAGTCTAGGTTCTAAACCCAGGCCAAAAGTGTCATCATGTAGGTGATCGGATGCCGTCTTATCTGCATGAAGTTTCCTCATCGTGTTCACTGAGCCGTGCTATTGGGTTCCAAATATTTTCTCACCAACTCAGGTGGTATCATCAATATGTAGCAGGTAAGTAAGCGAATCGGACCCCGAAGCTCACTAGTTTGTCTCACCGTCTGGCAATGCTGTAATTGTGCTCGTTTTTTCCAAACGTATGTTCTATCTATCCTACTAGAGATAAGTAGATGAAAAGCGTCTTCAGTGAGGACGCAAGTTGATGCGAAACCATAAAATAATCGAAAATATTTGGTTTTTCAAAATGGAGGCGCTGAAACGGTCAAAGTAATGTTCATCGGATTCGCCTCCTTTCTGAATGTGAAAAGCACTAATAAAGCTAAGGTGATCTTCCTAAAATAACATAAAGGGACATAACAAGGTACGTGACCTCTAAAAATCATCCTGCATTTGGTATAGGCAATTGTCGAAGGATAACGATGTCGCCGAGAACAAAAACTGCGTAATCACATCAAGCAAATCGCTGTGTCTAAAATCAAATCGCACTGATCCTGACTCTCAGCAACAAAGGAGCAAAAGCTGGCCACCGATAATTTCAATTCAAGTGAGAAAAATTTATGCCCTCAGATGGCGCAAAAATCACAGTTTTGTAGGACAGTCGTGTTTTGAACTCAGGAAATTTAGCAGACTTTCGTGTCTAATCAGG